GAAAAGAAAGAAAGAATGAAAGAAGAAAACAATACCCCCTCCCCCCCGAACCCACCACCTCTTCGGCGCTTCCATCGAGGCGGTCATCCTTCATTTCTTCTTTTCTTGCTTTCTGGAAGCAGTTAGGGAATGTATGATGAAGCAGAAATGAGCCGTCAGGATGATATTTTAATGGCTTATATGTCACGTTGGTGCATGTGGCTTTGAACTGGAGCAGCTTTCGTTTCCTGCAGAGAGCGCGCCGCAAATCCCACTTGATAACTTCTACAACCCACAACATTTTTTTTTTTTTTTTACATTCACTCTTACACTGTATATTTAGATACGCTTCCTAAAAATACCCTCTCGTCTGCCTTCTCGTATATTTTGCACCGACCTGGAATGATCGCCGGGTTCCCCCTGCGCCGGGAGGCAGGCTAGCACTGGACTACCTAACTTTCTGGATCTCCTAACGCCATCGCCCTGAAGACTTCACAATAACGCTGACAGCTCTGTCCTTTGCTTCATTTTAGCACCAAATACAGAAAGTAATGTAACGCCCGCCTAAAGACCACGTCCACACACAGGTATACTCCTAGAGCGGGTATACCTGTTGCTGTAAGCTATTGCAATTCCTTCGAATGGATTTGGCAGAATAAATGCGAACGTGTAGATACATTATTCTGAGGAAAAAAAAAAAAACCCAAACAAAAAACAAACCCCAAACCCTGTAAAGCCTCCCAAGATCCAAGGGAAATTACATAATACATCTGCTTTGAAAGCGATCTCCATGCACCGAGCACAGGCAAACTGCATCTGCAGATAAACTGCAGCGAAACATCCCTTCCAGGCGCATCAAAGTTTATTTGTTGTTGTTTGTTTGTGCGCTTGTTTGTGTTCTGGGCGCGATGGCCGGTTTTAGCCCCCTCGAAATGAGGCAGCTCTCGCCCGAGAAGGGTCCGCGCAGCAGCGCTGCCGGTCCGGCTCCCCAGTACCTGCGCTGCGGAGTGCGTACCGGCGCCCCTCATTAGGGAGGACGAGTTTAAAGTTTCTTTGTTTGGCAGTAGGAATTGGAGGGGCTCGGACTGAGCTGCGAAGGAGGCAAGCGAAGGGCTGAACAAAGGCGAAAGGGGAAGGAGTCCGACTCTTAGCGAGCTTTTGGTGTTTTCGTTACTGGAAAATAATTAGAGCTAATGAATATGCAGGCGACGGAGTAAATAAACAATTCGCCAGTTTTACACATGTACACACACACATGGGCACATACGTAAGCGTGTATATACGTACGCACACAAAGACCTCCACGTTTTAAAGTTTCACGAGATCTTTTTTTTTCTTTTTTTTTTTTTTTAGTGCCGAAGCATCGTTTAAAATATTGTACAAATGTTGCTTAGCTTAATTGATTAAGCCACAAAGGTTTTCTGCTTTTAAATACCATACTTATACCTTTCAACAATCATTTTAATATATAGTCAATGGCTCTTTGTAGCGAGAACAAAAAAGAACTATCCGCAGTTTTTCAATAGACTTTGAGCTGGGGAAAGACAGGTTAATCGAGGGTTGCATCTAGAAAACAACCAAGTGTTGTATGTTTGCACTGAATCCAAATGTCTGCATTTTTCTAACTAAATCAAAGGGAGTGTTATTCCTTTTTCTGCTCACTCATCTGAAGGTAAGTAAATTTTCTCTGGCGATCAAAAGCCTGGTCAGCAACAAAGACACCGCCTGCTTTTTCCACCGTCCTGGTGTGGCAAGTTGAGGAATTTCAATAACTGTGACAAGGGTGACTGATTTGTGAACTAGAAAAGGTTTGAATGTCAGAAAATTTACATTGCTCCTATCGAGGATTTTAAATCAATTTTTACCAAAAAAAAAAAAAAAAAAAAAGGGAGAAGGGGGAAGGAGTATCCGGGAGTTTCATGCGGCAGGAAGAGAAACAATGCAGGTTTGGGAAATTTACAGTTTTACCTGAATGAAAGAGACTCCGTAAAAAAGAGAGAGCGAGAGAAAGGGAGAGCGAGAGAGAAAGGAGAAAGAAAATAATAAAAAAGAGCCGAAGCAGCACCAACAAAAGTAGAAAGTTAAGAGTTTTCACCCACCTGCGTTTTGATGGGTGCAGAAAACAAGATTTATTTCAGAAACCTGATGGAGGGATAGAGTCAGCTACCCAGAGAAATCCCGCCTGGTGTTTAAAAATAAAACCAAATGCACCCGGCACCTACCCTCGGAGAGCTTCACTTTTAAACACGCGGAAAACAACAACTTCAGAGGGAGCGAGTCCCTACAGGACTTCTCTTTTCAAAGCCTAAAAAGTTGCTCAGCGATCTTAAAAATCCTGGATCACCAAGAAATCATCACCACCATCATTATCAGAGGGCTGGGGAGAGAGGGACAGAGAGAGGGAGAGCGGGGGAGAAAACAACCCTCATAATAACCAAAGATTTTTTTTGTTTTTGTTTTTGTTTTTTCCTTAGCACACGTACACACAAAAAGATGCGCTGGAGGTATTTTCGTGCTAGGGGGAAAAAAA